ATCCATCACAGCAGTGTCACCTGTTGTCACAACATAATGCCTGTTTGGGATGGGACTGTATTTGTGTGTGTTTTGGGAGGTCAGGAGAAGAACAGGAGTGAAGTGGAAGGTAAGAAAAGTGTTCTCTTGAGGGGAGAAGTGAGAATTCACAGGAAAATGTAGAGAGTTAGTGGTGTTACAGATTCAGGGTCAGCCCATGTTAAATTACACTGTAATTTGAGAAGCTCCAATTAGAATCCTTGTTTTCACTTTTTATGCGGACTTTAAATCACTTTTTATTTTTTAATTACGGTTGACATACAGTGTTATATTAGTTTCCGGTTTACAACCCAGTGATTAGACATTGCATAACTTACTAAGTTATCACCATGATAAAGCTAGCATCCCTCTGACACCATGCATTGTTACTGGAATATATGGACTGTATTCCCTATGCTGTACTTTACATCCCTGTGAGTGTTCTGTAACAACCAATTCCTGATTCTTAATCCCTTCACCTTTTTCACCCATCCCTCAAACCCCCTTCACATCTTAAAGAAGGCCTTTAACATTTCTTTTAATACTGGTTTGGTGCCTATGAACTCTGTTATTTTTTGTTATCTGGGAAACTCTTTTATCTGTCCTTTGATTTTAAATGATAGCTTTGCTGGGTAGAGCAATCTTGGTTGTAGGTCCTTGCTTTTCATCACTGTGAATATTTCTTGCCAATCCCTTCTGACCTGCGAATTTTCTGTTGAGAAATCATCTGAAAACTTTATGGGAGCTCTCTTGTAGATAACTAACTGCTTTTCTCTTGCTGCTTTTAAGATTCTCTCTTGGTCTTTAGTCTGGCATTTCAATTATGATGTGTCTTGGTGTGGGCCTCTTTGGGTTCATCCTGTTGGGCTCATCCTGAGCTTGGATGTCTGTTTCCTTCACCAGGTTAGGGAAGTTTTCTGTCATCATTTTTTCACATAGTTTTCAATTCCTTGCTCTCTCACTTCTCCTTCTTGGAACTCCGTGATGAGAATGTTGGTATGCTTGAAGTTATCTCAGCAGCTCCTTACACTGTCCTCATTTTTTTGGATTATTTTTTTTCATTTTGCTGTTATGATTGTTTTCTGCTTCCTTATCTTTCAAATTGCTACTTTCATTCTTTGCTTCTTCTACTCCACAGTTGGTTCCCTGTAATGTATCCTTAGTTTCAGTTAATGTAGTCTTCATTTCTGACTGGTTCTTTTTTATGTTCCCTAGTTCTGTTTTTATGCTTCCTCCCTCTTTGTTGTGTTCTCACTAGGTTCATTTCCTCTTATCCTAAGTTCATAGAGCATCCTTACAACCAGTTTTGAACTCTGCATCTGGTAGATTGCTTGTCTCCATTTTGTGTAGTTCTTTTTTCTGGAATTTTATACTGTTCTTTCGTATGGTACCTCTTTCTTTGTCTCCTTATTTTGGCGGCCTCCCTGTGTTGGTTTCTATGTATCGTGTAGAGCTGTTTCATTTCCTGGGCTTTGTAGAGTGGCCTTATATAGTAGGTGTCCCATAGGTTTCAGTGGCACAGCCTTCCCAGTTACCCAACTGGATACCCAGGTGCGACCCCCTCCCCCCATCCGCACGTGGGGTGAATATACCCTCCTGTCCTAGTTGAGTCTTGATTGCTGTTGTTATGTCAGTGGGGGCGGATTTTCCCCCTTGAAGGATCAGCCGTGCAGGGGCCCACTCACAGAGCAGGGCTTATGAGGGGAGACCACAAAAAAACAAAATTATCTTTTGGAGGACCAGCCCCTTGTAGTACAGTCTTCCCCAGCTAGGTGAGCGTTCTAGGAATCCATTTGTATCAGTGCGCCAGCTGGTGTTATTGTAAGAGGCTGTGTTCAGCTTCAGTGAATATTTTTTGCACCTAGTTTTCAAAACAATCGATTGTACCATCTCAGAATGAAAGAGATCTAGCCGAACAGCAGTTCCAATTATAAACAAAACCATGGTGATTTTAATTGGGGTATGGTAGGGAAGGCTGAATGAAAGCCAAAGATTGCTGTGGCTTCCAGAAAACTCTTAGTTTTGTTCAGCCACTTAGAAACTGAGTAGCCAGGGCAGTTTACTTAGACCTGCTGCAGCTGTTTCCCCGTGTGTAGAATAGGGATGATAGTCTCTACCTTAGAAGTTGTTGTGAAGATCAGCCTGGTGAATGCTGGTGAAGCTCTGCTTGGCACACAGTAGGCACTATATGATAATGATGCAGATGATAGCAAATCGTTACAGAAGTGCGGAGTCTGGAATAAGGATAATGACAGGTCCAGTGTATGGCAAGAATCAGATCCCATTGGAAATGCTGGGATCTGGCTAATAGAATCACTGGCTTAAGGGGACTGCAGGTACAGGGTCCCCTGATGGGGGAGGGGCTGGGAGATGTGAATGCAGTTTCAACTACTAATTATTGAGTATCTTGTGTGAGGCAACTGTGTTAGATGCAGTGGGGATAGAAACCTCACATCACATGTAATGCGGAATAAACTAGGGCTCACCCATAGGGGGTTGTTAGTATGGAATAGTAAGGAGGGCACTGTGCTTTACTGCTACCTCTCAGTGTCAAGTTCCTCATCTGTTACATGGATATTATATTGGCTGTGAGGATTAATTAAGATTTACATAAAACACCTAGCTGGTACTTACTAGCAAGCACTGAAGAAATAGTACTTGTATTATACAACAAAACAAAATCAATGGAATCAGACAAATACAAAAGTAACTATGGTGCAGACATTTAATAAAAGTCCTAAGAGAGATACAGAGTGCTCTGGGATTTGGAGAAGGGAGGAATCTTATGTATTAGGGCCCAAAGAAGCAATGTTTCATTTGAAAATGGCCTTTCAGTAGGTGAAAGATGGGGGTGGAGGTTGGAGGACATGGTGAATATGCTAATTTCTGAAAATCAGTGACATGTAGAAGGACTTTTTTTAGGTATAGAGATGGTAATAGGAGGTATGTATTTTTAGTCCCCTTCTACCTTTTATGATTCTTAGCAGTTTATTCTAGGACCATGTCTTTGGTTTAAGGGGTTCCTGGAATTGTCATTTTCTACCTCACAGAATGCACTCCCTACCGAAACTGGAGGAGCTGTGGCAGTCTACTCAGGAAGTGTCCGAACAGAGGCCCTCTTCCTGTTCCCCAGTAACCTATACTCCCAGTACCAGTAAGAGAAATGTGAGAAAATTTGTTTCAGGATGTTTGATTTTGAGGAAAACTTTTTCAGTCTGATTTCCTGTGGTATTTAGATCTTTTTATAAGAATACTATAATCCAAGCCCCCAGGTGGGTAGACCCTTTCCAAGTGGTAGTATGTGGGGTCAAATGACTAGGTGTGCAGCTGGTGTGGGAAGGATCTGGCCAGGCCACCCTTCTCACCCCCGGAGAAAGTTGTTCGTCTGCCAGTACTTCACACCTAGTTCAACAAGGAAGAGGATATTCCCCTAATAGAGGCAGAAATCTGTTGGTCAGCAATATGTAGTGGAGCACTGTTGCCTTGTATAACCTTTAGGCAGCCTTTTTCCTCCTCCCTCACAAACCGGCTCCTCGTTTTTCTTGTCTTGGTAAAGGACTCAGTGTTTGCTCAGCGGCCGGAGCTGAAAGTCCAGCAGTCATGAGGGACTCCTTCTCCCCTGTCCCCTGCAGTTAGCCCCTCCATAATTGCTCATTGTTGGCTGACTTGATCTCTTAAATGTTTCTGGCTCCTGGTCTCCACCTACCATGACAGCTGTTACCCTGCCAAGACCTTTTTCTGACTCACTGCTCACCCAGTGTCTCATGAATCCCTCACGGCTCTCCAGGTCTCCAGCCCCATCCTCGTTGGATCCTCTCCATGGCAGCCAGGATTACACATGGCAGTCCCTCCACTCTTCAAGTCTCCAGTGATTTATGTTGTCTGGGGTAGTGGTTCTCTTTGAGCAGTGGAAGTTTTCCAGACTCTGCTGACCCTTTTCAGAGTATTTAGGGGTGGGTCCCACTGTAGACATGTAAGTAGAATGGGGGAACTAGAAGGGGTTTGGGCTTCTGTGTTATAAAAATATGCAATAAATAATGATTTAAAAATAGCCTTTTATTTTAAAATAATTATTTCACAGGAAATTGTAAAAAAGAGTACAGGAAGGCTCTGGTACACTATGGAAACCAGGAAGTTAACAATGATACTTAATGTTAAGTAAACTACATACCTAAGTAATACTTTTTAATGTCCATTCTCTTGCCAGGTTACAGTGTAGTGTGTCCTAGTACATAAGCAATTAGGTTATTTCTTGACTTCATTGGGACACATTTAAGTTTGGGAATGGAATGGACATTCCTGATTTTGGGAGTGGTGGTGGTGTGTGTTGTGTGTGTGTGTATGTGTGTGTGTATGTAAGATTTTGATAGCTGCCAGTTGTTTATTCTTACAAAGTGGATTATACCCCAAAAAGCTTTCCAAGAATAGATTTGAGCAATGTAATTCTATCTAGTGACCTAAGGTCATAATTTTCTTACATAAAAAGTCGGAACTGCCATACTAGGTTTTATGCTAGAAGAATAATACAGACATTTATTCTTCTTGAATCTAAGATACAGTTAATTTAAAATTATGTCGGTGTGAATTGCTTCCCAGGCATGTGTAAATCTTGCTTTGTTTAGATCGTAAAGCAAAAGGGCACAGGGCTTGTTCTGTTGTTATGTTTTGGTCATAATTCTGAAATACAGCATATGCTAGGGGATGGCTCCACGCAGTGATCGTAAAGTATGGTTTTGCTCTGAGGAGTGGGATATTATGCTGAGTTATAATGAATTCAGTGGAATGGATTTCAGACTTTTAGGTGCTAACCGAGGACATTCTTGAAACAGCAATCTTCCCCAGTACTGGGAACTGAGCTTGGTGACGGAGCTCTGCTTGGTTTCCTCATCAGAACTGATGGACGAGCTAGAAAAGCTCTGTGTAAATCCTTACCAGTTGCGGTGACATTCTGCTGACACTTGTCTGTGTTTCTTGTGTTTCAGAATTCGCTTACATCTTCTGAGAAAGGGATTGTGAGCACTAAGGAAACCACTCTCTGCTTCAGAAGAAAACTAGGTCAGAGAAGGCCAATCTTCTGCTTTACAAGCAAGCAGTAGGGTGAGTTCTCCCACCTGCCTCGCAGAGGCGCCTGGGCTCCTTTGAGGGGTCATGAGATGATAACCTCACTCTCCTCAAGGGTCAGGTACTGGACTAGGTCCTTTGTAAATTAAAACCTGCCAGGTGGACATTTACAGAGGAGAAACCTAGATCTTCATTTCTGTAACTTCCCGAAGAGGATGCAGGGCCAATTCATGTCAATGCTGAGATTTGAATCTGGAGCTAATTCCCAAGCCTTTCTCTATCATACCAGATCGCCTCTCCATCCATGCAGACCCTTGGGTTCAGCTCTGACCCTCTTGAATGATTCCAAAGCAGGGTTCTGAGAGAGGACTGCCAAGGCTGACTGTTTCCACTGCTGAGAAGCTGCCCTCTGAGGTGTATATCTGAGTGGAGAATTTCAAACACACTGGGTGCCATGACCCTTGATGATGATGATGGGTAATAACCTCATTTAGAATAGGAAGACTTTGTGGCCCAGGGGAAGACAGAAGCAGCCAGCTGGAAGTTACTCATGTGGTTCAGTTCTTCATGTTTCTCTTACTTGTGTGAGCAAAGTGGTGAAGCGGTTCCCCGGGGGCGGAGAAGGAGGGTGTGGTGCGGAGTGGTGGAGACCTTCAGAGACACTCCGGCATCACACCAGCAGGCATCTTTCTTGATCAAGGGGCTATGAGGACTTTTCCAAACAAGTAGTAAGTTGATTTGCAGAAATGCTTGACTCATTTTCTTCAAGGAGTTGGAATCAAACTGAAACTAAAACGTGAGTCGGCATCAGGAATTACCAGGTGATAGGGCTTCTGTACGATGGGCAGCGGTGCAGCTCTGCCCTTTTTCTCAAGTGACCAGCCACCTGCTTTGACTGGGACAGGAGGGTTATCAGGACAGGAGACCTGCAGTGCTCACACCAGGACACCTGCCTTCAATAGTCTTTGTGGCCCTGGGTAGGTCCCTTAGACTTGCTGGATCCTGTGGCCTGCATATCTTTGTCTCTCTGTCTCTCAATGGCTTTTCAATGCCCTTCCAGTTTCTCAGGATTGGCAATTAGGTGTGACTAATTCACAGGCTTTTACTGGATAGAACACGTGGGCTGGAAGCTAGTTTTCTGATGCCTTTGATAATGATTAGACATTGGCATTTGACTGAGAATAATACAAGCTACTGTTTAGTGGGTTAGCAACAGTTGGGCAAATAGGGCAAAGTAACAGATAACCTATAATGAAGTGGACTGCGCAGGTGAGCAAGGTTTAAACTGCTTTGAACTTTGGCCCACCCAGAATTTGTTTTTACAGGTCTAAATTAGTGTGAATGTTTCTAAATACAGAGATTTTACCCCAAACTCAGGGTTGCTGGCTTCCCTGGAAAGATTGGAAGATCTGGCCACTCCAGGCCGGCTTCCCTCAAATTGTCTGGTGGCTGCGGCTACAAAGTGGCCACCCCTTCTAGATAGGCCATGTGGTCACTGGTTCTCACAGGCCCCTACCATCCTTCCCCTCAGACTTGCCCCCCTCCCCCCTTGCTTCCTTTTATTATCTGCCTGGGAAGGCTGACACTTTCAATAGTTCTTAGCATTGGCTGCACCTTAGAATATTTGAGAGTGCTTAAAAATATTTTGGTTTCTTGGCCCTACTCAGACCAATTGAGTCATCATCTTGCAGAGGGTGTTGGGCCGACATCTGTGTTTAAAAACCTCCCCAGGCTGTTGTGATGCACAGTGAGGGCCAAGGACCAGTGCTGAAGCTCCATCCCAGCGTGGGTTTCGATGGGGCAAAGCACCACGGAGCAGGGGAGACAAGGACACAGTTTACCTGATCCCACTGACTGGGGCCATCACAGCCTGAGTTTAGTCATAGCTGAGCTCACTGGGAAAAATCAGGGAAGTATTAAAAAGCAAATATCCCATTGGCATATTCATGGCTCATTTTGCTAAGGTATTAAGAAACTTACCCCAGGTCTTTTCTTTTAAGATTGCAGCTTGTAAAAAATGCTATACTGCCATAGGCATTTAAATCATTATAATAATGTCTATAGTTTTTTGCATGGTGTGATTATGGAAGTATTTTTAATGGGCTTATAAATCTAGTGGTTGTGAGTGGCAAGTAGCATGAATTTAGTGTATTTGAGTCAAGGGATAAAATGGAGGGGCACAGTTTTACATAATGGCTTTATTCATCCATAATTCTTTCACTGTAAATCAATTTCTATCATCTCTGGCCCACGCCCCCATGCCCCCACCCCCTTCTGCCAGGATCACTTCTGGGCTATGAGTGTGGTCACCGTGAATTATTTAAAAATTCAAGTAGTTGGTTAATAAAAACCTTCTCATTTGAAGCTTAAAATGGAAGGGGCTGCGACACTACCTATTTCTGCCTCTTCATTTTAAGGGTAGACAAAACTAAGGTTTTGAAGTGTTAAGTGACTAGTTCAAGCTGTACCCCTACTGCTGGAACCTCGGTGTCACGGTTCCGTCCCTCCTCGGTAGCGCGGTTCCTCTGGGCCGGGCCTCCGTGACTGCAGTGATGGGGTCTCCACGCTGTGGACTTTTCTTTAAGATTGCAGCTTGTAGCCAGTTCCTTTAGTGACTTTGTTCTACTCACCTTTTGTCCCCAGTGTCTAGCTGGGCCTGGCATTAGTTGCAGTTCAAAAACTGAGGGATGATGAAGGAAAGAAGAGGCATTCCAGGTTACAGAGCCTCTATGGAACCTTCTGGGCTTCTTTCCAGCCTCCGATTCTCGGGGACCCACTGGGACCTGCTCTCAGATGCGCCCCTGAGTTAGCAGTGTTCTCTGCTGCTCTCTGTGAGTGTTGGGGAGGTGGGGGTCTGTCCCGAAGGGCGGAGGCATCTCGTGCACCCTCGGTATTTTCTCCACGATGTGTAGGGCCATGGACAGCATACAGCGAGCCTTTCCCTGAATGTTGGTCTGATGGGGTCTCAACTCTCAGGTTGGCCTCGTGCTGACCTTTCATCTAGCTTTCATCCTATGGGAAATATTCTAAAATGGCACTCCAGTGTCACTTTGATAGAATTGCAAGATAAAAAAAATACTAGGATGGATAGTCTATTTCTAAACTGGTGATGTGTGAGTAAATCTCTGATTTTTCTTAGGATAACCTCTAGTTCAAGGTGTGTGTGTTTGACCCTCTTGCTGTGTACCTGGCTGCCTAGCTGTAATAGCACAGTGGCTCTGCTCACTGTTTACATTTTGCTTGTGCATCCTCATGCCTTTGAAATCAGGTTCCCACCAAGAGGCCCCCCACTCAGCCCACTCTGGGTTCTCCTCCTTGCCTTGGGAGCCGAGACACCTCCCAGCAGAGATGCTTCACTGATGAAGCTGGCGCTGGCTAAGAACCGATGTTTGCAGGGTCACCTGGCATGTTGTTTTCTTCTAAAATCCCCCAATAGAAGCCCAGCCCAGAATGACAAAAGAAGAATTTGGAATAGGGATGAGGAAGGTCTCTGCTTAGGGCTATAGATTTAGAAAAATCACCAGGTGATTATAACTCTGTGGTTCCTCATTTGAAAATAACTGGTTTATAGGGTTTCCTTAATGAAAGTGTGGGGGAAAAGCCTACCGAATATGAGAAAGCAACTCATATTTGTTAAGTGCATATTATTATATGCCTGATTGATTGATTCAGTCACATCCCACTCCATTTATTCATTCCATGAGTTTTGATACCTTCTTGGTGTCAGGCTCCCTGATTGGTGCTGAGGCACCCTGAGCATGAATCGTGTGCCCCTTAAGAAGCCAGATGGCCAGAGTCCCTAGCAGCTCTACCACCTGGCAGCTGTGTGACCTTGAGCACATTGCTTAGTTCATGCCTCAGTTTCCCCCACTCCAAATGGGGACAGTCACAGCACCTACCTCAGGGTGAGAAGATGTGTGTTAAGGTGGTAACTGTCCATTCTCACTGCAGTGTTGATGAGGACAGTCCTGCCTTCAGAGAGCAGAGAGTTTGGTGGAGTCAGGGTCCAGAGGCAAAGCCCCATGGCTAGTGTATGTGGCATTGGTCCCTGTCTGTGCTTTTCACATAATGCCATACTGTACAACCCACCCCCCCTTTAATGCCTCATTTATCTATCACTGTCACTTAGGAGCTCGGTTATATGAAATTTTCTAGAAACATTCCAGAAATCTGTTTTGCATCCTGTTATTGAATGATGCCTTGTTATCATGAAAATTGGTTTTGGTCGGAACTGTAGAGAGATGCTCTCAGGCTCTCTGAGAGCTGCTTGCCCTTATGCTAAATGGCATAAACCCATTGTCCTTTTATGCAGGTTTTTTTGTTGTTTTGTCATCTTTATTAGGGAGCCACCTTACTTCTAAAATTCCTAACCTATTACTGTTAGAGTAGAAACGAAGGTCAACAGGAGAAACCAAATGACCAGACTTGTTAAATTGGTGACCTTAGTTTTATACAAAAGACTTAGTTTGAGGGTTCTTCAAAGTTGGAGGTATGATGCTACCTGATGCCAAACTATACTACAAGATCATAGTAATTAAAACAGAATGGTGCAGGCATAAAACCAGACACATAGATCAATGGAACAGAATAGACATCCCAGAAATAAACCCATACCTTTATGGTCAATTCATACATGATAAAGGAGGCAAGAACATACTATGGGGTAAAGACAGTCTATTTAATAAATGGTATTGGAATAACTGGATGTATACATATAAAAAAATGAATCTAGATCACCAACTTACACCGTATACGAGAAAAAACTTAAAATGATTGAAGATTTAAATGTAAGACTTGAAACCATTAAACTCCTAGAAGAAAACATGGGCTGTAAGCTCTCAGACATTTCTCTTACCAAGATTTTTTTCTGATATATCTCTTTAGGCAAGGGAAACAAAAGAAAAAAATAAATAGGACTATGTCAAACTAAGAAAGTTTTTGCACAGCAAAGGAAACCAACAAAATGCAAAGACAACCTACTGAATGGGAGAAGATATTCACCAAAGATACATCGATAAGGAGTTAATATCCAAAGT